GTGGTCACGCGCCCGCGCGGTGTTGGCCCGGCCCCGGCGCAGCCGCACCTCAGCACGTCGCCGGTGTCAGCGCGACGGCCCGCAGCGGGTGATAGCCCCGTGGCCGGTGTAACCATGGCGACGGGCGCCCTCCTTGCCCAGTCCGTAGGTCTCGCAGACGGTGGAGTCCAGGTCGATGGTCAACGGCTCGTCGCCGGGTCCTGCGCCAGCAGCCCAGGCCCGCGCCAGCAGTTCCCGGCTCACCCGATCCAGTTGGCGAACATGACCCCACCGGAAGCTGCGCAGAAAGGTCCCCAGGGTGGATGGCGCCTTCACCGCACATCCCAGCACCCGTGCGGTGCTGCCGGTGCGCAACACGTCGGCGTCATCGATGCAGTCGCCGCCGGCCAGTGCCGACGCCACCAGCGTCAGCATCTTGTCTCCCGGGTTGGCTCGACCCGGCGCATCTCCCAGGTCAACATGGCGGTCCACCAGTTCACCCAGACCCAGATGGTGGGCCAGGGTAACCGGCAGGAGCAGTCCGGCATTGGCCACCAGACGGTGGTCGTCGAAGGCGACGTGGAGGCGGTCAGCGGTGTTGCGCTCCGGTAGCATCTTGTGGTGCTCTCGTTTTGGGTTGGATTTTGCTGTTTCAAAAACACCATTATCCCGAGCGGGAGCACTGTCTCATCCCCTCAGCACGCCGCCAGCCTCGATCGGTCGGTGGATTGGGGCCTAAAAGCTAACGAGCCGATAAGTCACGCTAGGCCAAGATTGAACATGGTCAGAGAGAAAACAACACAAGTGGCCGACTGAAAATCATGTCTAGGGATAAACAGGATGTGCGGCATACATCTGGGCGTGGTCCTGTGGCCAACCCATAACCGGTGTAAATGACGAAGTAGGCCCAACATTCGTCCCGCTGACTCAGCCAAGTTGATATGCTATAGCATCCGAGCGCGCGAGTGTTTAACAATTGTGGACGACCGGCCCATGCACGACAGTTGACACAGGACAGCGGACATGATGCGCGCGTGGTAGGTCACTGGAAGACTTGGAAATAGACCGTAACCGTGGAGCGAACACGCCAGACGACTGGGCCTAGATTCCATGCAAATGCCACTACCGGCAATATCTCGACACGACCGTTACGTGTGCACGCGACAAACATAGGTGTCCACGAACACCAACTGTGCAGGCTGCGCGAGGAGTAGGACAAGGACTTTGGCGGAGAGGGTGGGAGATAGACAAGGACGCGACCTCTGGTCATTGGAGGTGGACGGGGTGGAGGAACGCCGCAAGTAGGCTTGACCGCACGGGCAAGTAGAACCAGCGCGCGGTTGACATTTTCTCAGGTCTTTCACCCCGATCGGGTCCCAGGCTCCGTAAATATATTCGAACGTATAGTCGATGTGGGACTGCCCACCACGAACATCATCCACAGCTGATGAGAGAGGACACGTAACACCTCAGGCATAGCCACTACGAGTCGCTTCAGGTAGGGGGCAGAGATCGTACGCTAAGGAATGGCGCGGTGTGAGTGTGCGATAGACAGGTTGGTCTTGATACAGAGAAGAGCTCGGCGAGATCGCTGCTGGAATACTCGCCTGTGCAGGCATGCGGCGCCAGAGTTCCCGCTGCTGACGCGGTGGACAGTTTGGGCTGCTTGCCGCGACAACTTCTGGCGCGGGCGATGGCCATGCCCCGCGAGCGTGAGCGCATGCGGATGAGATCGGACTTCGAACTCGGCGAATGCCGGTGGCGAGGATATTGAGAACATCTTCCCATGGGAGCGTCTCCGGGTCGTAGAGCGCCGGGCGGCCGAGGCCAGTTCACGCCGCGTTCCCACGGAAGCCGGTGCGGCGATGGCGCGGGAGTCGGAACAGGACATGGCCAGCCGGTCGAGTTGGGCACGACCAGTGTGTCGCCGGCGCGCACGGCGGCGAGGGATGTCGAGGCCGGGCCGGAGCGGAGTTTCCGGTGGTCGTGCCGGTGAGGCAGTGATCGGTGTAGATGCGATCCTCAGGCGACGCAGCTCCAAGAGCGCTGGTCGCTGGGCGGCCAGATCTGCCGTCGGTGGAAGGTAAGGACGGAGGAGAAATGTACGCAGAGTGGGCGGTCGAAGTTCAGCGTAAATGTACGCGCTAGTGTCAGCATAAAATGTCACTCGTGTTAGGCCGCCCTGTATCAGGTGTTGGCGTAGTTGACGCGCTGCGGACTGCCGCACTCGGTGGGGTATCGGCGTCGATGGGTATTTCCTCACCGTGGCCGTTGATGCCCAAGCTCCCGCGCATAATCCCTTTCTCGGATGGACATGCCTACTTTGCTCCTCTTTTGACCTTCGCCTTCTGTATGGCCGTCCAGCGAGCCTTTTGGAGAAACGTAGCTTCCGACGGCGCAATGTGCTGCACCTTAGCCGGCTGCGTGCGTCGGTCAGCATCGGTCAGGCCGCGAGTCCTTCTTCGGCACAATGGTGTCGAGTTGGGAGAGGGTCGTCGCCCACGGACCCGTCGGGACCGGATGACCAGGACCGAACGTGCCTGGCAAGGTGTGGATGATCGTTACCGTTCGCATGAATACCGGATGGGCGGACGCTCTTGAACAGGGATGGTGACGTCCTGTGTTGCAGGATAGACGACCATCCCGGGCCTTCCAGGACCTCCTCACAGCGGCCCCGGCATAGCTGGAGACCTTTGTGCTCGTGCAGCAACTGCGGAAGGTGTGCAACGGAACTTCACCGTGTTGTCCGGGCCCACCTGCCGGCGGTGCTGAAGACAGAGGCTACGGATCCAGCACACGTCGATGCCAGATGGGTGGAAGCTGGTCCTCGGGACATGCGGACGGAACGCTGAACCGAGTGCGTTGCAGCGTGCAGAAAACCCCTGCAGCACGTGGTCAGCGTCCGCGATGGTGGTCGCGCCAGCCAGTCGGAGTTCCGTCACCAGCCGGTCCTGAACGTTCCCGCCGTTCGTTCCACGCGACCCTTCGCCTGGGCGCGACAGTGCGAATATCAGCTGGATCCCCAGCTCATCCATGGCGCGGCTGAACTGGGTGTGGCGCACCGCGAGCCAGACCACGGGCGTGTGCTTGAAGACGGCGTGCGCGGTTCGACGTAGAGGGCAACCGGGCGCCGCGTTAGCTCTGCACAGCTCCCGCATCATCACGAAATAGTTTGCGGGCGTCTTCCCACCGCTCGCAGAAGAGGGCGTCACCACGCGCCGGTGGGTCATCCACCGCCAGCAGCAGCGCGTGAACTGCGGTCCCGTTCCTCCAACGCGGTGAAAGCTGCAAGTCTATCTGGATCAGCATCCCGCGCGGCTCGGCATTCGCTGGCGACGCACCGATGTTGCGGGCGTACGCGTACGAGCGAAGGCGAGGGACTGTTCAACCCAGCGGATACCAGTCATGCGCCGTAGCGTACTGCGGTCGATGTCGATATCCTCGCGCTCTCCTCCAAGCAGTTCGCTCAGAAGTGGCGTGTGGTGGTTCCAAGTAGCGGGTGCTGGCCAGTGTACTACCTCGCTCTGGTTGTCGCTAGGGGAAGGAAGATTCGTGTTTTTCTCGTGGCGGCCGACGACCACGATGGCGTGAGCCCGGGCGGCGGCACCCCTCCCTCCGGTACGCCGCCAGAGATACGTCTGGGTAGTGGCGCGTGCTCACCGATCCCATCACTGTGCACTGCCTGGTCCACAGTACATCTGCTCTGCGCCCACAGTCGGTTCAGAACCTTGAGTCTGCCTTGTTCTTTCTGGTTCAACGTCACATTCTCCATAGAGGGGAATATGACATTTATGCTGACCAGTTAGTGCGGACCTTTTCGCTGACCGTTGACACCCGAGCGTTACAGTTTTCGTCCGCCCTTGACAGTGGAACAGCGGGCGTATCCGATGAGGGTTGCCGCCATGGGGGAAGTGTACGAATAGGGTCCCGCTTCCGCAATTGTTTCCGTACCATTCATATGAGACGCTCCTGGTACCGGTTTGGAGGGGGTAGTGGCGACGGGCTGCGCCGTCCGCTGGACGGTCCCCTTACGGACAGTGCTGGGCCTGCTGGGATAAACGGATAACGGAGCGGTGGAACATGCCGATACGAAGCATCCGGAGCGCGCGCCAGCGCGCGGTCCGGTTCGGCCGGCCCACGGACGAAGCCACCCTGCCGCGCATTACACGCTGTCCGACGACGACATCGAGCATATCCGGGTGCGGCGCGGGGGACACAACCGGCTGGGCTGCGCGCTCCAGCTTTGCGCCTTTCGATATCCGGGGCGGCTTCTGGTGGCAGGGGAGGCGATTCCCTTGAACGTCCTTCGCTTCATTGACGCACAGCTCGGAGTGGTGCAGAAAGCTAGACGGAAGGGCATGTCGCTGCGGGCAATTGAGCGGGAGCTGGGGATCCACAGGTCCACCATCAGGAGATATCTGGAGGCCGGAGGCCCTCCAGCGCGACAGGCGTAGAGGGTTCCCATTTCGTCAACATCGGAAACCATGGCAACATGAGCGAGTGACGTTTTCGCTGAACACATAGCCGGACATTTTCCCGGACCTTCGACACCATTACCCGGCAGTCGACCCGCCCTCCTGGCGCACTTTACCGCCGCCTTTTACACAGGTCCGCAGGATCGGTTACGATGGTGGCGGAATAGGGGGCCAGCCATCGGCCGGTGCGGTAAATAGGACTGAACCTGACCGAACTGATCGCTCAAGCATCCTGGCGGGGATCTGCGGTCTCGGCATCTGTAGCTGTACGTGTTCCCCCGCCCTTAGCAGGGGTGTCGGCGCAAGAGTGAGCCACCAGTCCAATTGTCGGACATCCTACTGCTATCCGGACCGTAGGTCTCGCAGATGGTGGAGTCCAGGTCGATGGTCAACGGTCTCTGTGAGAAACTGGTTTACCTCCTGCACACTCATGACCAACCCTTCGGGGATTCAAGGACATGCTGGCCCAGTTCCTTCTCAAATCTACCCATAGTACTGGGCATCTCACCTGCGCCTTGGTTTAGGTAGTTGGAAGAGGTATAAATCTTATCTCCCCCTTAACTTCGGGTCCCACGCATCCCGCAGGGAATCGCCCAAGAGGTTGAACCCGAACACCACGACGAAGATGGCGAGTCCCGGGAACATGGCGACCCAGGGGGCTGTCTTCACATGCTCCTCGGAGGCCCGCCTTAACATCCCACCCCAACTGGGGACGTCCGGGGGAACGCCTACCCCCAAGAAGCTGAGGGAAGCCTCGATGGTTATCGCCAGCCCCAGGTAGTAGGTGGATACCACCAGGGCTATCGCCATGCAATTGTGGGGTGATGTGCCGGAATACCAGGCGCAAGGGGGAAGCCCCGATGGCCCGGGCCGCCAGTATGTAGTCCAACTCCTTGGTGGTCAGCACCTGGGAGCGTACGGTTCGTATCACCGGTGCCAACATCCCAACTACGATGGCGATCATGACGTTTTGCAGGGATGACCCCAGCACCGCCACAATTGCCAGGGCGATTATGAGGCCCGGCAAGGCCATCAGCGAGTCCACCAACCTCTGGAAAGCAGAGGTCTATGAAGCCGCCCGCGTAGGTGGTGACCACCGCTAGGATGAACCCCAGGGTAATCCCCACCGCCACGCTGCCGAAGCCTACGTACAATGAAATGCGCGCCCCGTGGATTACCCGGCTCAGCACGTCCCGGCCGGCGTGGTCGGTACCCATTATGTGGCCTTGCTGCGGTGTCAGGTGGACATTCTCCCGGCCCAGGCTCTCCTTGGGGTGATAGGGGGCAATGACGTTGGCCAGTATGGCCATTATGATGAGCAGAATGGTAATTATGCCCCCCGCAGCCCCCAGGGGCTTGCTCCGGCAGAAGCGCAAAAGTCCGGCCCCAACATCCTGTCCCCAATCTGCGACACTGACTCCCGCACGGGTCAATGCTGACCCTTCAGATCTCTGTTGCTCTAACATTATCGTCCTGCTTTCAAGTTAGCGAGATGGCTCCGTGGCTCGAATCGCCGAGGGGAATTTGGCCGAGGTTCCCGGCTACGGCCTCACTGGTACCGTATCCCTGGGGTCCAGCATGCCGTAGAACAGGTCGATGATCAGGTTCAAGGTCAGCACCACTGCCGCAGTGAGCAGAACCACCGCTTGGATTACGACGAAATCCCGGTGGATGATGCTTTCTATCAGGAAAGGCCCCCAGGCCCGGTACGGCGAATATGGTCTCGATGATGATGGTGCCGCCCAGCAGACGGGCGAACTGGTAGCCCGACACCGTGATGATGGGCAGGATGGCGTTCTGGAGTGCGTGCCTGCCTAGCACCTTGGTTTCGCGCAGCCCCTTGGACCGGGCCGTCCTAACATAGTCTTCCCGCAGCACCTCCAGCATGGAGGAGCGGGTTACCCTGGCGGTGAAAGCCAGATCGTGAAAGGCGATGGCCAGAGCCGGGAAGAAAAGCTGCTTCAGGTTGAGGATGGGGTCCTCCCACAGGGTGGCGTAACCTAACGGAGGCAACCAGTTGAAGACGTAGGCCAAGAAGTAGATTATGAGGATCGCCAACCAGAAAGTCGGCAGGGCTATCCCAATGAGGGTCAGTGACCGGCAGACGTAGTCGGGCCAGGTGTCCTGCCGCACGGCGGAAATCATGCCCATCGGCACGGCCACGACAAAAGCCATGATGATGCCCATGATGGATAATTGCAGGGTAACGGCAAACTTATCCCGGATTTCGTCGGTGACCGGCTCCCGGTACCAGATGGAGATTCCCAAATCGCCGCGCAGGGTATTCCACAGCCAGTCGAAGTACTGGATATGAACGGGACGGTCCAAGCCCAGTTCCTGGCGCAGCTTTTGCAGGTCCTCCTCGGTAACCGCTCCCGCCCCTTCCTCGCCGGTGAGGATGAACAGCGCAGCATCACCGGGGACCAGGAAGAAGAGGGCAAACACGATTACGGTAGTCAGAAGTATGGTGGGAATGAAGAGGCCTATCCTCCTCACCACGTAGCCTATCATCACTCCTCCCGACGGTTCGGTGACCTCTCCATCCTGGAACTGGGAGTCAAAGGTCACTGTCTATGCTTGGCAGTTCTCACTCGTCTGGGTTGGACAATGTTCCCTTTGTCCTGGGGCACTAAGACGGCGCCCCAGGACAGCCGGGTGTGGCGTCAAGATCAGACAGAAGGGAAGGCCCGTTACTCGATGGGGGGAGCGTCCGGCCCGAGCAGCTCCGCGTCCGGGTCCCACCAAGCGTGCTCCCAGGTCCAGATGGTATGCGGGTGGTAGGGCGGCCGGAAATTCTGCATCCGGTAGTCGATGATGCCGCTGCTGGCGGTCCAATAGATGGGAACATAGTGGCTCTCCCCCTCGTTGAGAATTTCCGCCATCTCCCGGAACAATTCCCGTCGGACCTCCGAGTCCAGTTCCTTCCCCTGCAACTCCATCAACTCGGCAAAGCGGGGGTGGGACCAGTTATGAGGGTTGCGGAGAGTGTCCTGGAAGAACCATTGGGCCAGCACCGTTTCCGGCTCCTTGAAGTAAAGGCCGGTGCCGATGGTGCTGAGGTCGTGGGTGCCATCCCGCAACTGGGCGTAGAAAGTAGCCCGGTCGGCAACCTGAAGTTCCACATCGATGTTGAGCTTCTCCCTCAACTGGTCCGCCATCAGCTCGCTGTCGGTCCGTGAAAACTTGGCCTGATCCACGTTGTAGGTCAGGTTGAACCCATCGGGGTAGCCCGCTTCGGTCAGCAGCCGTTTGGCCTCCATCAAGTCGTCGGGATGCGTCCCGCCTTCGGCGCTGACGCGAAAGCCTGGCAACGACAGGACTTCTTCCTCACTGAGGGCATAGCCAGGCGGGAAGAAGTTGCCAACCAAGGCTGAACCGCCCTGGGAAATCTCAGCGATCTCGTGACGGTCCACGGCCAGGTAAATCGCCTTACGCACCCTGGGGTCATCCAGCGGCGGCCGGTTCCAGTGGAACCAGAAACCGTAGAGACCGCGGCGCCGCCTTTCAGAACCCGCATCTTGCCGCCGGTCTCCCTCTGCACCTGCTCCGCGTCCGCCAGCAGGATGCCGCCCAGGCGTACCGTCCCATAACCTGCTGGGTCTTGAGGGTGGCCAGACGCCGGGCGTAGTCGGTGATGATGAACACCTTCATGCCGTCAGCATAGGGCATGGGGTCCTTGAAGTAATCGTCGTTGCGGTCGTACTCGTAGGAGTCGCCTTTCTTCCAGGACCTGAACTTCCAGGGGCCGGAGCCGAAGGTGCTCTTGAAACAGCAGTTGAAGTCGTCCTGGCTCACGCTCTCCAAAGCCTTGGGATACATCTTGTAGTAGTCTACCGCCAGCCAGCCCAGAGCCGTCGATGAGGGAAACTTCAGGGGCATCAGCACCGTTTTGTCGTCCACTGCCACTGCGGTCTGGTACTCGTAAAAGGTACGGATGGCGGTGACTCGGCCCCGCGTGACGTCGGGTTGCGCCATTCGGTTGAGGCTCCAAACGATGTCTTCGGCAGTGACCGGGGTGCCGTCGTGCCAGTTGGCATCGTTCAGGCGAAACAGGAAATTCTTACCTCCATCCTTGATCTCCCAACTCTGGGCCAGGTCGCCGACAATCTCCTTCGGCTCCCTGGGGTTGTACATCAGGAGTTGGTTGAACCGAGGGCCAGAGGGCATAAGGGTAGTGGTGGAACTGGCCCCATAGTGCAAGTCCAGGAACCCGGGGTTGGCCCGGTGCACAAACACGAAGTCCCCATTGTAGTGGTGGTCGGCGCCAATGCTCACCCAGTCGGGTCTCTCCGTCTGGTGAACGCCGGCTACTGGGGTGGCGAATACCACCTTCTCTATTGGGACCTCTTTTTCTACTACTTTCTCAACTATTTTTTCCTTCTCTACTTCCACTTGGACTACCCTGGTAACTTCTACCTCTTTCACGACCTCCTTCTCGACGACCTGGGGTTCCGCCTGTTGGACGGGTTGCCCGGCAGTACCGCAAGCGACAATCAACAGGACTAGCAGGGTCAGAGATGTTATTGCCAACGCCCTAAGATTTTGGATCCTCATATACGACACTTCTGGGCCTCCTTATAACGATATTCGTCCGAACAATGGCGTTTGGGATAGTAACCAGTCTATGTAGCCACCAATAGAAGCAGAATTCGAGACAGATGTCAAGGGCGGAGCAAGCTCACGCGTACCCGGTTCGGTAGCGCTGGATGGAGAAGGGGTTATCTGGCGGGTCGGTGTGGCGAGATAGTATTCGTAACCCAAGTTGAGGATGCCCAGCTTGCCGCGGGAGCAGACCAGTCGCCGGAAAGTTGGCGATGCCCGCACTCCCATCAGGATCAGCAGGCAACAAGCCAGCAGCAAGCCCACTAGCAGCCTGTCCGAGAAACACGTTTGGTGATGTGTTGGGGGTATGATGGGGCGAGCATCAAAATGGTGGAGCCGGTAATGAGCAAGACCTATGGTGCCTATAACCCCGATCAACAGTTGTTGCTGCCGGCGGCGCTGCAGGAGTGGCTGCCATCGGACCATCTGGCCTACTTCATCTCCGACGTGGTGGAGCAGTTGGACCTGTCGGACATCATGGCCCGCTACGAGCGAGAGCGGCGGGGCGGACCGCCCTATCATCCTGAGCTGATGGTCAAGGTGCTGCTCTACGGCTACTGCGTGGGGGTGACGTCATCCCGACGCATTGCCCGTCGGCTCCACGAGGACATCGCCTTTCGGGTGCTGGCGGCCAACAGCACGCCGGACTTTCGCACCATCTCTGACTTTCGCAAGGACAACCTGGCGGAGTTGTCGGACCTGTTCCTGCAGGTGTTGGCATTGTGCCAATTGGCTGGGTTGGCGAAGTTGGGGCACGTGGCGTTGGACGGGACCAAGGTAAAGGCCAACGCATCGAAGCATAAGGCGATGAGTTACGGGCGGATGAAGGAGAGGTCGGCACAGTTGGCGGCGGAGGTGGCGGAGTTGCTGCGGCGAGCGCAGGCCGCGGATGAGGAGGAAGACCGGCGGTACGGCCGGGACAAACGTGGGGACGAGTTGCCCAAGGAGTTGGCCTTTCGGGAGGGTCGGTTGGAGAAGATCCGAGAGGCCATGGCGGCGTTGGAAGCCGAAGCCCAGGCTGAGGCAGAGTTGGCCGAGGGTGTGGGCAAGGAGCAATCGGGGGTGCCGGATGACAAGGCCCAGCGTAACTTCACCGATGCTGAGTCTCGGATCATGCCCGCGCCAGGCGGGCGGGATTTCGTCCAGGCGTACAACTGTCAGGCAGTGGTGGACAGCGACCACCAGGTGATTGTGGCGGCACAGGCCACCAGCCAGGCATCGGACAAGCAGCAGGCCGTCGCCATGATTGAGGAGGCCATCGCCAACACCGGCGCCGTCCCCAGGGAAGTGTCCGCTGACGCCGGTTACTACTCGGCCAAGGCAGTTGATGAACTCTACGCGCTGGGCACGGACCCCTACGTCGCGCCGGAGAAAACCCGCCACGGCACCGTATTGCCGCCAGCCCCCAGGGGCCGCATCCCCAATCAGCTGTCGCCGCGGGACCGGATGCGTCGGAAGTTGCTGACGAAAAAGGGTCGGGAACGTTACGCGCTGCGGATGGCGACGGTGGAGCCGGTATTCGGCCAGATTAAGCAGGGTCGAGGGTTCCGGCAGTTCCTGCTGCGGGGACTGGAGCAGTTTCTGTCCAGTCTACCCGACCAGTGGCGTCGGGATGAAACGCATTCTCCCCGGGACAGGGCAATCGCGTCTTATCCGAGGAGGACTTTGCGCAGGTAGTCCTCGTCCCATCCGGCGTTGAGCCGCTTGCCCTGAATGCCTACTTTCAAGGTGCTTTCGTTTTTCAACCGGTTGTGCCCAATCTGCCGCAGCGTGGCCAGGTTCTGCGGTCCATGGTCCTTGCGCACTCGGCACTGGTCTTCCCGAAAGGTCACGTCCAAGGTCCAGTGCAGCGAGTTTTCGATGCTCCAGTGGCTTCTGATGGCAGCCAGGAGTTGTTCTGCTGGGGCTGGCAGGCTGCTGATGTAGTAGCGGGGCTGACTTATGCCACCCGCTCCAGTTTGACGATGGCCCACCACCCTGACGGCCGCCTTCAGTTGGGACCATTGCCCCTGGGGGTCCAGATAATCCAGGCAGTCCGTCGCCGTGATGGTCCAGCATTCCCGCCGTTCCACCCGTCCGTGTCCCTTGTCCACGGTCCGTGCGTAATCGTAAGGCACCCCGTCAAAACCCAAGGCCTCGGCTCCCTGGAACAGGTCTCGGATACCCTCATGCAACCGGCCCTGGTTCTCCTTCACCGCCAGCACGTAGTCGGCCCCGCCCGCTATGATCTGCTGGGCGATCTCCCGCTGGCAGCCCATGGCATCGATAGTTACGATGCAGCCATTCAAGTCCAGCATTTCCAGCAGTTGAGGAATGGCGGTGATCTCATTGGACTTCTCCTCGGTCTTGACCTGGCCCAGGGTCAGGTTGTTCTGGGTGGCCCAGGCGCTGACCAGGTGTATGGCTCCCTTGTTCCCCGCCGGATCATAGGACCGTCGAGCCGTCTTGCCATCAATGGCCACCACCTCACCCGGCAGCAACTCGGCGATGGCCTGGGTCCAGGATACGAAGCTATTCTGCAACTGCACTGGGTCCAGGCGGGCGAACACATCGCCAAAGGTGTCGTGGGATGGGATACCGTGGGGCAATTCCAGGAAGGTCTGAAACCAGGCCAGCTTGCTCTTGCCGAAGAGTTCTATGTAGACCCAGGAATCGGCGCCGCAGATGGTGGCACAAATGGCAATGGCAATGATGTCCACCAGCTTATGGCGTCGGGTGCGTTCCACCCGTGGGTCGTCCAGGTCAGCGAAATGATCGAGAATAGTTGTTTTGGGTGGTTGTGCCATGCCTCACTGCCTCCATTTGGTTCAACGGATCATGGCACGTTAGCACATTTCTAAAAATACTATTAAGACGCGATTGCCCTGATCCCCGGGAGCGCAAGCTGGCAGCGCCACGCACCTGGCGCACGCGGGCAGACCCTTTCGCAGGGGTGTGGTGCGATGTGCTCGGTTGGTTGCAGGAAGAACCGGACGCCAGCGCGATGGCGTTGCTGGGCCGGTTGCAAGCTGCCGAACCGGACCGTTTCAGCCGGGCCCAGCTGCGAACGTTGCAGCGGAGGGTGCAACAGTGGCGCGGCTCATGGCGAACAAGCTGGTCTACGCAGCGTCTGAAGCAACGCTGCCGGAACTCCACGGAAGGCCGGAACTGGCTCTGTTTGGAGCGGATCCCAAGTGCTAAAGTTTCGGTAACATTTCTCAATGAGGCAACAGGCCGGCAGGACTAATTGTCGTTCATCACCTGGCCAGATACCAGGGCTCACGATAGCCGCGTGCCCAATAAAGCACCAGGTTGATGAGGGCGGCGCCGTCGGACCGGTAGAGGGTTTGAGGCCAGAACAAGATACGGCCTTTGGGTAGGGGGTAGTCCCGCAGCCGGCCGCGGTAGTCGGCACCCTGGACCACCACGTCGCCCCTGAGGCGGATCACGTAGTCCACTGGGTAGCCGGCGTGGTTGGGCATTGCTTGCGGGAAGCGGATCAGGCTAGCCCTTCCGAACCCGCGGTCAGCCAGCAGCAGGGGGCGATGTTGCTGGGCAGATGGTAAAGCAGTCGGCGCAGGAAGAACTCCTCCACGCGGTTCTGGGAGGGATCCAACTCTTCCGGCGTGGACACCCAGCTGAGCAGGGGCAGCCCTCGACTTCGGAAACAGACCGCAGCGAACAGACCGTTGCATCTCTGACCCAGCTCAGACCAGTCAATCATGATCGGGGTCAGTCCCCGCAACCGGGCCGCCTGGCAGATTGGGCCCAACAGCGCTGTCTGTACCGCTACGGTGTCAAAGCCGGTGTTGGATAGAAAGCGAAAGAGCCGTTTCTTACGCTGGTGGTGAGAATAGGGCAGCTGAATCTGCCAAGCTCGCACCAAAACCGATATGGCCAGGGCGCGACGCTCCAAAATAGCGACCGTCAGCAGGGCCAGATTGATCCGACGGGTCGCGCGCAAATGGGGCACCGAGTAGTTTAGAAAGGTGGCAATCCGGTGATACCATGACATCCTCGAAGAGGAGAAACCATGGATCTGCTAATTGAGGCGACCATCAGGGTCACCATCGACGATTCATTCATCGACGAATGGAGCGAGGATGAGGGGGGAGTACAGAGTCTGGCGCGTGACGAACTGGCCTGGAGGCTGCTGAGGGGGACCGACCACCCTGGGAACCCGACCACGCCCTTGAGTTCCTCCCGCGGCCAGGGGCAAATAATCCGGGTATGGCATGAGGGAGTAGCGGGCTTGAGCGTCGCCGGAAAACGAAAGCTGACATTGCCGAACAGTTTTCCCTACGGAGTGCGTGGGGTCGGAGACCTGGTGCCTTCGAGGGCGACTCTGGTATTTGAATTGGAGCTTCTTGGCGTTCAATGGGTCGGGACGCTCACCATTTTCCTTTTTTGGGCCCTTTACAAGGCTATTCCGGGAATAAAGCGGAAGGTCTACTGGAGCCAGCAGTAGGACCATTCTTGGTCGAGGGGTTGCAATGGAACAAGTCCGAGTGTGCCGTTTCTGTGGTTACATTGAGGCGGTGCCCGGTTCGCACAGGTGCGCCAACTGTGAAGCCTTTTCAGGCATGATATCCGTTCCCCGGGCCGAGGCGGAGCGGCTGTCCCGTAGCCGTAGATTCGCCTTTCTCCGTAGCCGCCTGCTCATACCGGGGATTGCCCTGGCAGTTACCGCGCTCTTTGCCTTCTGGGTATCCTGGAACTACCTGGGACTGGACCCCAACCCTCCTGCTGCTTCCACGGATGTTGCGCCGACCCTGGATCCTAGGGACTGGCCGCAGGCGAGGCGCACGGGGGAAGGCACCGGGTTCACCCCAAACCCTGTCCCATACCCCCATGAGATTAAGTGGTCCTACAGTTCAGGCGGCCCCCTGCTCAACCCACCAGCCGTGGCGGGCGACCTGATTTACCTTACTACGGAGACGGGCAAGCTCGTCGCGCTGGACCGGACAACGGGCTTACCGGCCTGGGAGCATATTACAGGCTTTCCTTCAAGCTCTACCCCCGCCGTGGCAGGGGGGGTGGTGGTCTACGCCATTCGGCCTGGCCGGGTACTGGCCGTGGATGCGATGACGGGAGCTCTGCAGTGGGACAGGGACATGGGGAGCCCCATCCTGGCATCCCCTGTTGTCCGCGATGGCACCGTGTACATTGGAGTGGGAGACCACAAGATTTACGCCCTGGATATAGCCAGCGGAGTTGTGCTGTGGAGCTTCACCACCGATGACTGGGTGGTAGCGGCAGTCTGCCTCACCGACAACGTTCTCGTAGTGGTCTCCAAGGACAATTTGCTCCATGTGGTGGACACTAATACTGGGCGGCGGCGCTTGGTGTATGACACCGGCAGGGCCAGACAAATCCTGGGCGGACCGGCTACCCAGGCTGACCGGGTGTACGTCGGGTCCCAGAAGGGCCGCGTGTGGGCCATAGACTGGCGGGAACGATCCCTACCCTGGGACCGCTTCATCCTCTTTTGGAAGACCACCTTTCACGTTTGGGGCTGGCTGCCCCATCCACCGTCGCAGCGGGGAAGTGTATGGGGGGCCCAGGTCGAAGGTGACGTGACCCAATCGCCGGCTGTCGCCGGCGGTAGAGTTTACGTTGCCAGCGTCTCAGGCGTGGTCTCTGCTTTGGGGACATCCTCGGGAGAGGTGCTGTGGCAAACGGACATGGGGGAGTCCGGTGACCACTGCCCCCACCGTGGCGGGACCTACCGTCCTGGTTGGTACAGAATCGGTACGGTTGCCGGTTTGGACGCCCTCAACGGACAGTTGTCGTGGGGATTCGAGACAGGAGGCAAGATAACCGGCAGTCCTGTGGTGGCTGCGACAACCCTGTATGTCGTCTCCCATGATGGCAACCTCTACGCATTGGAGGCTGTCCCCTAATATTGCAACGACGGTTGGTATGGTAGGATAGTTGGCGAGTTAGCGTAGGCCACGGGAGGTGGGGTAAGGTGGTAGATGCGGCGGCTTTGGGGCAGATGTGCGGGGCCTTTCAGGATTTTCACGCTTACTTCAGTCGCTGTTTGGCCGTCGGGAATCGCGAGAGCACGGTCAGAACTATCTCCAAGCCCTGCTGGTGCAGTCCCAGGACCGGCGCAACGCTGAGAACCTGTCGGAGTCAGTGGGCGTATCCGCCCGGGGTGCAGCGTTTTCTTACCGAGGCACCTTGGGACGACGACCTGGTGATGGGCCGGCTCCAAGAGTACCTGGGGCCCCGGCTGGAGCATCGGGAGGGGGTATGGGTGCTGGACGGCAGCGACTTTCCCAAGCAGGGTGTGAAGTCGGTGGGGGTGGCGAGGCAGTATTGCGGCAGACTGGGGAAGGTGGCGAACTGCCAGGCGGGTATGTTCTTGGCCTACGTCAGCCCGTTGGGTCGGGCGTTGGTGGGCAAGCGGCTGTATCTGCCGGTGGGCTGGACTTCGGACGATGAGCGGTGCCAGGCGGCGGGGGTGCCGGAGGAGAAACGCAGCTACCGGTCAAAGACGGAGTTGGCGTTGGAGATGGTGGAACAGGCCCTGGCTCGGGGACACCTGCGTGCCGGATGGGTGGCTGGGGATGACGCTTTTGGGATGTCGCCGTCCTTTCGAGAAGGTAGTGTCCCGTCAATAGGTGTAAAAGCGCGTCATCCCTTTTGATGTTGATTAGGCTGCTGCGTCCAGCATGTTGGGCTCCGGCAGTGCCTCGTTGCCGGCGGCGTTGGGGATGGTGAGGTAGCGGCGGGCTTCGGCCCATTCGTCGTGTTGCTCGGCCAGCACCGCGCCCACCAGGCGCCGCGCCGATAGCCGGTTGGGGAAGATGCCCACCACGTCCCCTTTCGGGGGCAGGCTCCGGCGCCTTATCTCCCGGTTCAGCCGTTCCTGCGGGTTGTTGGACCACAGCTTCTGCCAGTGGGCCACTGGGAAGGCCGTGAAGGCCAGGATGTCCGGCGCGGCGTCCGCCAGCAGTTCGGCCACCTGGGGAAAGGGCTCCCGGAGTTGTTCCACCACTCGGTCCAATTGGCCGTGGACCTCGGCGGGAGACAGTTGCTGGTAGATGGTGCGTACCATGCGAGAAGGTCCTGGGTGGCCACGCCAGGTTGGGCACGCTTGGGCACGCGGGTGAGCAGGTTGGCCATGAAGTGGGTGCGGCAGCGCTGCCAGCTGGCTCCAGCAAAGACTGCGGCGATGGCGTTCTTCAGCCCCTGGTGGGCATCGGAGGTCACCAGTTCCACCCCGCTGAGGCCCCGAGCGGTCAGCGACCGCAGGAAGGCCAGCCAGAACGCGCCGTCCTCGCTGGCGCCCACGTCCATACCCAGGATCTCACGCTGCCCTTCGGCATTGACCCCCGTCGCCACCACCACGCAGACGTTCACGATGCGGCCGCCCTCACGCACCTTCTGGGTCAGGCCGTCCAGCCAGACGTAGGGGTAGGGACCACCGTCCAGAGGCCGACCCAGGAAACTGTCCACTACTTCATCCAGTTGCTCGCAGATGCGCGACACCTGGCTGCTGGAGATGCCGTCGCAACCCAGGGCCTTGATCAGGTCGTCCACCCTTCGGGTGGAGACTCCCTCCACGTAGGCCTGCTGGATCACCGACAGCAGAGCCTTCTCGCTGCGCCGCCGTGGTTCCAGCAGGCTGGGGAAGTAGCTGCCTTCCCGCAGCTTGGGAATGTGCAACTCCATGGTGCCCACCCGGGTATCCCAGGTGCGGTTGCGGTAGCCGTTGCGGTAGGTGACCCGCTCTGGGCTGCGTTCGCCGTGCTGAGCGCCGATCTGGGCGGAAACCTCGGCGTCCATGATGCCGTCCACCAGGACCCGCAGTGCTTCCCGCAGCAAGTCCACGTCTCCGTCCATACCACGCTTGCGTAATAATTCCAAAAGATCCATTCTTTGCTTGACCACCGTCGTTCTCCTTGTTCTGGGTTATGACTTCCGATCAAGGATGACGCGGTGGTTAGCTTTGGGCTACACCGATTCTTTTACACCACCTCCCGGTACTCTACTACGTACTCCGCCACGAAGGTTTCTCGCCGCACCGGGTCCGCCTTGCCTGGGCTTTGCACATTTCAAGCCGCGCAGGCGAGTGAATCTACAAGTCGGTGGTACAGGGCAGCCGGGACTTTCCATATATCCGGTTCTGCGTCTCGGCTCCCGACTAACACGGTTTTCAGGCGACGGCCGCTGGTGGGTTGAGGGGCAAGCCCGGATCATGGTGCTGAGCATCGGACATGGGCACCAGTTGGTAGCCGAGTTGGGACGCCCGCCGTTTAGCCGCGCGCAACGCCCGCTGCTGATACTGGCTCTCGTAGTATTGGGCGCCAGCATCCACGTAGTCCTGGCCGTAGCGCAGCATGGAATAGATGAGCCTGGCCAGCTTGTGCGCCGTGGCGGTGATGGCCTTGGGCGCTCCCAGGTGCGCTTTCTTCCGGCGCAGGAAGGCGCCCAGGGCGCTGTCGGAGCGGTGCAGCGCGTTGGCGGCCATGCGCAATGCCGCCGCGGCCCGGTTGGCGCTGGGCTTGGTCTTTGAGCTCTTGACCTTGCCACCGGTGATACGGTTGTCGGGGCTCAGCCCCAGCCAGGATGCGAAGTGTTTGGCGCTCGGCCATTTCGTCATATCCGTGCCAATCTCGCTGATCACCTTCAATGCCGTGAAGCCGTCTACGCCGTCGATCCGGGTCAGGTCCACCCCCGTCATCCGATACAGGTGTGTCCTGATATCGAAGCTGGGTGCGTTGCCCTGACTGCGCCGCCGGCCGTTCCCGTCAGGGGACCCGCCGTCCGAGACGTCCTCAAACCGTTCCAACTGGGCTTCAATCTCCCAGTCGCACTCAGCAATCTTCTGGTGGTAGAACCGGTACAGCTCCAGGGCCTGGGTCAACTCGAAGATGTGCTCTTCGAGCCAGTGGCCCTGCAATGACCTGGCGATGGTTGCCTCGTCCGCCCTGATCCGGTGGTCGCGGAGTTTCGCCAGTTGCCGCGGGTCCCGCTCACCGCTCACGATGGCTTCGATTATCGCCATGCCGGTCTGGCCGGTGATGTTGCTGATGACGTGCTGGAGCTTCACGTTCATCTGGGTCAAGGCCTTCTGCATATGCTGGATGTGATGAGATGCGTACTCCACCAGCATGGCCCGCTGCCGCAGATAGCTGCGCAGGCGTCGTATGTCCCCGTCGGGTCGGAAGGCTCCCGACAGCAGGCCATAGGTGTGCAGTTGCTGCAGCCACTGGCAGTCCAGCACGTCGGTCTTGCGCCCGGGCACGTTCTTGATGCGCCGAGGGTCCACCAACATCACCTCAAACCCCCGCTCTTCCAGCACTCCGAACAGCGGAATCCAGTACACCCCAGTCGACTCCATGACCACGGTCTCCACTTCGCTCTCGGCCAGCCAGTCCGCCAGGCGATACAAGTCGGCCGTGAAGGCGGCGAACTCGTGCACCGGCGGTTCGGCGCGGTCTTGGGGCACCGCCACGAAATGGCTGGTGGCGCCCACGTCGATGCCCGCCGCGTTCAGGTTCACCTGGGACAGCTGCGCGGGCAGACGCTCTGGCCCTCCTCCGGTCTTGCCCACCGGCTTTGCGCTCCTCTGGCGTGTAGTCATCATCTCCCCCTATCATGGCAGTGTCGGCGCGTCGCCGGAGGAAGTCACTGACCGTAGCCACTCTCCCGAACGGGATCGTCCCCATTGGGACGTCACCAATGATGCCGCCGTAAGACTTCCGGACCATGCTTTGTATCGGGCAATTTGCACCAAAGTCTAGTCGGTCTTGGTCCGGACGACACGCTTCGTCGTGAGCTTACACGTTCCAGCACACCTACCCCAGTTAGTCTCCCTCTGCACGGCTCGGGAGCGGGCATATCGATGCTTTGTACAATCAAGCGGCATAGGCGAGGGAGTCGAGCATCCTGTGGTACAAGAGGCGCGGGACTTTTATCGATTCGTGCTCGCGCTCGGACGGCATAAAAGTTCCCTGCTGCACCCAGAGGTGTCGTCTGACCAGGGCGATGGCGTCGGCGAAGGAAGGGCTGGTTTTGTCATACCACGCCGCGGTGCGCGGCGCCATGGCGCCACGCTGTTCGATCAGGATATCCGCTGCCAGCGTCACCACGCTGAACAGGCCAAAGAGCGCGGGGGTGGTTCGGGCGATGGCTCGTTCCGACCACTGGCGCTGGGTTTCCATGCCCAGGTGAGCCCGCAGCTCCTCAAAGGTCACCTCGACCTGCCACCGCAGCAGATACCACTGCAGTATCCGCAGGGGTTCCGCCTCGGTGTCGGTGCATAGCAAAGCATAGGGCCCGCGGCGCTCCGCCAGGTATCTGATGACGACCCAACGTATGGGAAGGCGCGGCGGGGCGCCGTGGTACCACAGCGCTACGCCCGAAGCGAGCTCGACCATGGCGGTACTGCCGTCGGAACCGGTGGCGCGGTAGGGAATCCATTGTGTAGCGGGATCGTCCAGCACCGCCGTGGGACTGGGCAGTCGCGCGCCGACCACCCGGGGCCGCCCGATCTGGCCGGGCCGCCGCGGTGGCGCGGGCTGGTACAGGGATGCGTCCTTGCGCAGTTTGGTGACGACGACAATCGGCTTTGACATACTCTGGCAATGCCGCAGGAACTCGCGCTTGGCGTAGCCGCCATCGGCCACCACCACCAGGTCCCTCTCCGGCAGCCAACGGCGCAGGCAGACCAGCATCTGCTGGGCGTAGTCGGTGACCGTCTTGTGCCGGCGACCTTTGCGCCGGTCGTAGCGGGCCGACACCACCAGCGCGGTCAAAAACGGCAGCGCCCAGTGTCGACCCGCCCATCCGATACGCGTCAGCAACATCAGGCTCACCCATTGCAGTCCGGGGGTCATCACCACCTGGTCGTCCTTGGACCGCACCGGATCCCGATACCGCCCCTTGGCCGCAATCTTCCGGCCCCAGCGTCGTTCCACCGTCTCGTCAATGCCGAACACCAACGGCTCGGTGGATGAACCAAGGCGCCCGGCCACCAGCAGCAACAGCGCCCGGCTCAGTTGCAGCGGCGACCATCGGGCACGGTTGAGCACGTGGTGATAGACGGCGAAGTCGCCGTGCTGCCCAATCCCCAGGATGTTGAGGGCGGAGGACACGGTGCGTTTGCCGGGAGACAGGATCGCTCCCATGGCCAGGAGTTGGGCTTTGCGCCAGGTCCTGGGGTCAAACAGGTGCTCAAAGGGCAGCAGCAGGGTTACTATGACTGCGGGCAGGGTAGGCATACTCGACCTCTTGTGGTGATTTGGTCGAGCTTACCCTGTTCTTATAATTTATCTAGCTTTTGTACAAAGTCGAG